AAAAAAAAAAAAACCTAACTATGGCTGGGTGGTGGTTGCGCATGCCTTTAATCCCAGCACTTGGGATGCAGAGTCAGGCAGATCTCTGTGAGTTCAAGGCCAGCCTGGTCTACGAGTTCCAGCAAAGGCGCAAAGCTACACAGAGAAAGCCTGTCTCAAACCACCCCCCCAAAACAAAAACAAAAACAAAAACAAAAAAATCCTAACTGTGTATTTTTCTTTTTTAAAATTTATTCTATGAGTGTTTTGCCTGATGTATGTATTTTGTGCCACATGTATGCTTGGTGTCCATGGAGGTGAGGAGACACATTGCATCTTTGGAACTGGAGTTGGGGATGGTTGTGAACCACCATATAAGTCCTGGGAACTAAATCCATTTTCTGCAAGAGTAACAAATGACCTTAACCACAAGATATTTCTCCAGGCCCTGATGTGTACATTTTTTATGCAGAGAGGTCCAAAAAATGAAAATGAGAGTAAAAGAGTTACCTTGATCCATTCTTCTTTGTCTTGTTCAGAACTAAAAGAGAAACAAAGAAAAAAAAGAGTGAAGAGAACATTAAGAATTACAACTTGTAAATGAAAGCATGTTTTAATGTCACTCTGGATTCCACACAGGAATGTTTTTGAAATAATTAAAGAGACTCTAGTTCTTCTTAATACAGGACCAGACTGCAGTCTACCTTTGGTACCCACTCACTTTGAAAGCAAGCCATGGCATTAACAATCATGTCTAGTTGGACCTACCAGATGATTCTGTATGCTTGACATACTAGAAAATCAAAGATAATATTATAATTTTAAGAACATATGACAACTAAAAACCACTAACATCTCAGGAAACATTATGATTATTGTTATAATCCTAAAAATGACCTGAATCTAGATCCAGATGGATTCACAGCAGAATTCTACCAGACTTTCAAAGAAGAACTACGAGCAAAATTTGTTAAATTATTAAAGCAAAACAATATCAAAATCAGGTAAATAAACACACAAAAAAGAGAAAACTAGAGGCCAATATTCTCCATGAATACAGATGTAAAAATTCTCTCTTGTAAATAAAATACAGTTATATATCAAAAAGACTGCCCATCCTGATCTAGGTGGCTTCATCCCAGAGATTTAGGTTTAGATCAATATACATGGTCAATAATGTAGTAAATCATGTAAATGGACTTAAAGACAAAAATCATATGTTCAATAGATACAGAAAAAACCTTTGACAAAATTTAACATGTCTTCATGATAAAAGTCCTAGAGAGACTAGGACTGGAGGGAACATATCTCAGTACAATATAACACTACAAACCCACAGCCCACATCTTAAGTGGAAAAAAACTCCACAGTGCAGGGATGAGACAGGCGTGCATACCTACAAGCTTAGCTCTAGCAGAGAACCAGGTCTGTTCACTTTGCCTAGTAAGTTTCTTCTTCCTGTCCCATCATCCTTCACCACACCAGTCGCCATATCCACCCATAGCCTCATTGCATATCTATGGAGCCCATTGTGTCCTTTGACTGGTGAGACGCTGCTTTTCTCTCCCATCTTGCCATCAACCTGCTGCCATCATTACACCATTGCCCAGCCTCAGACCCATGGTTTGGGAGCCATCTTTGCCTGGTTCAAGTAAACAGCTTACCCACCACCTTTATCTGGGCTAGCTCTTGTCATATAGCTCATGCACTGGCATAATCTAAGGAAGGGCAGATTCTCACATCAGGCATGTAACCGAAGAAAGGAGTCCACATGTCCAGATCAAATTGCAGAAACAAACAAACAAAAAATATGAATGGCCAAGGCAACATGTCTCCTACCAAATCACTAGTTCCATGGAAGTGTTCTCTAATGAGAACTACCTAGATGAGTCCCTGGACATAGAATGTGAAGAAGACACTCCTTTGAACTCTAAGAGGATGACAATAAATACCTGTGTCATGTCCAAGGTAAACATACACACTAGAGAATAACAATACTTACCTGTGTCACAGAGTAATGCTAAATGGACTCAGGTTGTTTGTATATTTGTTCATGCACACTTGTGCTTGCACACACTAATATATTCACATATTTACATATACATATGTATCAAAGAAGAGCCCATGGTGAATTTCAGAGTATGGGACATGGGAATAGTTTGATAGTGGAAGGAACAGTGGGAGTGATGTAGATACAGTGCTCATGTATGAAGTTATACAAAATAAAACCCCAAAATCTTTTGTTATTTATGATTAAATTAAAAAAAATAAAAGAAAAGCAAAAGATCTTTGTAAGGTCTTGGGGGAACCACTTAGCATTTCCTTTGCTAAACAATTCTGTTTGCCTCTTCCTTAAAGGCTCATGCAATGCCATACCTAACCAAATGAAGGAGAGCATCAAACACTGTCAATCACGCAGGAAGGGGTTTCCCAGACTCAGGGGCTACAGAGTCTAACAATTTTCCTTGGGGGGTAAGTTTACCTCAACTTCCTTTTTGCATACTAAGGAAAAACTGCATTTCCTCTCCCTTGTAGAAAGCTTATATCAAATTTGGAAAATCTTTTTGAGTGGACTCTGAATTAAGTCAGAACTTTAAATTGAGGGATTTTGAAGGATGTCAAAGTGTTTCTTTGCACCTTTGGTAAGCGGGGGCCAAGTCCTCATTCCAACATGTACACACGATACTGGCAGGACACAAAGACAGGGAACGTTAAAGTCACATGGCAGGAAAGCAAGCTTCTGACTCCAGAGACTGGTTGAAATGTTTTGCCAGCAGAGAAGCAAGGACTCCAGCAACATCAGCTGGTGAAGATCCTTTTCTCTTACTACCTGTAAACCTACAATATTCTAAGAATCACATTAAAAAACCCAGTTATAGGGAAATCCCTTGTGTAGACTGGGTGCCTGTGACTTTACTTTATCAGATTATAATTCCTTTCAAGGTATATTTGAAGCCACCCTATATGTCACTTATTAGAAAACAAAGACAGAAAAGAATAAAAAGGCTTCTTACCACTTTCAAATGGCATAGAGAGTTAATGTATGACACTTGGTTGGAAGTCTTGCTTGGGAAGCCCACACTTACATTTGGTTATATTTTACTTTCTGTGACTTTTTTGAGAAACCCATGCCCATGCTCCTGAGTGTGTCTCCATTATTTTATCTCCATTACTTTTTAATAAAACCCAACTGTGCTTTGTTCTGGTTCGTCTTGAATCTCTTCTGGTTGAAGCCATGAGTCCCAGTTTGGTATGAGCTGAGGTCCCTCCAACATTAGGAGGATTCCTTAGGCCATTGAGAGTGACAGTACGGCCCTGTGGCCCTGTCTTCTCAGAGCTGGTAGCCATCTTTCCAGCATTTATTTTTTTGAGCAGTACGATATTGCAGAAAATTCTGGTGGAACCTCTGCCGACCAACATGGCAGGCTCCACATTATCTCCCAAAGGGAGGCTTCAGTCAGCCTTGCTGGTTTCCCAATTCTACTGTTCTGGAAGTAAAATTATTTATCAGTCTTTAAAATGCAGACAAAGACTTTAGTGTTTTGTTTTTAAAGTCAGGAAAGATTTATTTACTCTTTTGCTTAATTTGTTACTATATTTAAATTTTCTATTTAGCAACCAAAAATCACTGTCTAAAAACCAAATGAAATAGAAACTGCCTAAAAACTATACAAAACAATACTTTTTATCCTTTTTGTTTGTTTATAGCTACAAGATATTATAAAGCGTTAAATTAATAGATGAAGAATGCATGCTCACTTTGGCTCAGTAAAGTCAATTAATTCCAGAAACTAGTTCATTTGAAAATCCATCTCACTAAGTCTGTACTTTCCACTTCCTAGATTGGTAGGATATTTTACTACAATCAAGCTCATTTACTGTACCTTCAGTGTGCAAGCATCCTTCTTATTTACAAATATTTTGAGCCAGTTTTCATTAGTATAAAAACTCTGACTTCGCATCTCCATTGTAAACAGAGATTTTGATTTTAATGTTTAATTCACTTGAAGTGACCATCACATGTCTGACTAGCGTTTGTTGGAAGTCTATTTTGTCTGAAATGAGAACAGCTATGCTGCTTGTCTCCTGCCTCCACTGCTGGGAACACCCCTTCCCATCCCTTCTTAAGGTGGTGTCTATCTTTGATGTGAGATATGTTTCTTAGTGGCAGCAAAAAGTTGCATCTAGAGTTTTCTAATCTATTCTGCTAGTCTGTACATTTTATAGGGGGAAATAGAACATTAATATTCAGTTATTATAGTACATATTAGTTCTGGTTATTTTGTGCTTTATGTTTTATTTGCATAACTCTTCTAGAATTGTTTATTTTTCTCCAGTGGCATTTTAGAGGTGTTCATCCTCTTCAGTCCCAGGTGTTACTTTTAGTGCATTGGGTTAAGGTCATAAATTATATTTGCCTTTTTTAAAAATGTAGAACTTATTTCATTTTATTGGAAATAGATTCTGTTTTTTTCTATTTGCCTCCTTTTAACATGGAAACTTTTTTCTTTTTCCTTCAATACATCAGATAGAGTCAGGCTTAGCAGCTGTTGTCTTTCAGAACTTGAAATACATATTTTTAAGCCTTTTTCCTTTTAAAAATTTCTGAATAATCAGCTATTGGCCTTTCTGTACACGTGACTCCTCTTCTTTCTCTTGCAGCTTTTGTATTCCTTTCTTTGTCCTGCATGTTTGTTTGGTCATCTGACTGAATATGATGTGGGGGGTGGCTTTTGGTCATCTGACTGAATATGATGTGGGGCCATGGGAATGTACAAGTCAGTTATATCTGGTGCCTGATACAGGTTTTTGTAGAAAATAATCAAGGAACCTGTCTAGGGGGAAGAGAGGCAGGTTTCTCTGGAGTTGTCCAGAGTGCGGCAATTTCCCTGGGGATTGTACATAAGAGACAATCCTGTAATGGTCGCCATAAAGAGGCTCTCACTCATCTGGAGCTGCAGTCCAACTAGTGATTGTCAGAGAAATAAGGGTGAGTAATCATAGTTTTTTTAGAGAGGTAGTTTTTTTTTTAGAGAGAGTTGTCTAGAATATGACAATTTCCCTGGGGATTGTACATAAGAAGAGACAATCCTCTAGTCATAGTTTTTTAGTTTCCTTATGTTCTTCCCCTCAGAATGAGTCAAACAGAGTTTAAAACAGTGCTGGTATACAGAAACAGGAAGAGAAAACATGTCTCTTACAACATTTCCAGAAAGAAAAGAGTTAACTTGAAAACTGCTTGCTGCTTGGAATTCAGCTTGCAGTAGCAAGAGAGAACAAGCAGCTTGGCTATCTGCCTGCACACTAGCAAACCTCGGTATGCCAACTGGAAATTCAAAAAGAAGCTTCCCGCATTTTCACTTTTATCTCAACACTTGACACTAGTTCCTGAGGAATTAGAAAAGAAAGACAAGGAAGACATAAAAATATGAAGGTTTAAGTAAGTTGTGAAGGTTTGAGATGTGATTTTAAGGTGTAAAAATTTGAAGGCTTAAGTAAGTCATGAGGGTTAAGAGCTATTTTGGGTCTGAGGAAGTAGTC